TCCCCTGCCCTGTCCTTGCCCTTGGAGGCTTGTCCCGACAAGGCTCTTATCTCCTTGCACTGCAACGGTTGTCCCCAGCTTGCAGAACTGTGGGCTCTGAAAGGGTGCAAGCATTCCCCCACACCCGGGAAGCACAAGGCCTGCCTCGTGGGGCTCAGTGACTGTTTGTTGAGCGGATAAACGACCACCCCAGGTGCCTGTCTCCTCAAGGACAGAATCTTGGTCCCAGTGAGCCAAGACTCCAATGCCCCATCTCCCCCAGCCCCTCCTGGAACTCCCCTGCCCGGCCCGCTCCACCCCGAGGGGCGGAAGCCTTGTCTTCAGACCCCACAGGCCCTCGTACCGTCCACCATCTTCTGCTCACAGTCCATGAGGTCTCGGCAGACCCGGGCAGGGTTCTCTTTGGTGCCCAGGGGCGTCTTAATGCTCTGGATGAGGTTGCTGAGGTAGTGTAAGGTTTTAAAGATCTCCCCTCCCTGGTCCAGCACCAGCCGGTCTGGATGGCTGTAACCCTGTCATGAGGAGAGAAGGTGATCGCCGGCTCCTTGAGGTCCCAGCCCGGCCCGAGGTCTAAGCCTCTGCAGCCGCGAGTTCTTGTACTTGGGAGATGATGCGGCTCCCCCTACTTAACAGGTAGGGAAACTGGGGGCCAGGGATGGCATGGGGGCTGCCCCAGAGTCTAGAAGCGTAAGGGAGTGGAGGGCCAGCATCGACTCCCCCAGCCACCAGCTCCAGTTCAGGGAACAAATAAGCTGTGGGACGCTCGGTGCAAGCCACATGGAGGCTGTTGACCACACACGAGCCATTCCTTCTGTCTCCCCCAGGAGGGGATCTCATGCAGGCAGGGGGCCCGGAGGTACCTCTGCTTTCAGTGCGCCATTTGTGTCCATCCACGTCTGGAAAGCTGCTCCAAGGTCATCTTGCTGCTGTGCAAAGAGGAGACGGGGTGTGCATCCTGTCCCCACTCCTGGCCCCAAGTCCTCCCCAGACTCACCAAGAGGGAGACCCAGGGTCTGAGCACGAGCTCTCCCAGCCACCTTCCCGGGTGGTATCACGGCCAAGTCGCCTGCCTTCTGTGGAACTCTCTGTCTTTCCTCCACTTGCAAACGGAGTCAGAGCTGACCCTTCCACTCCTTTTCTCCAGGCCTTCCCTAGCTCTCCATCACCCTCAGGATTAAGTACAAACTCCTCCACGTGGTTACAAGACCTGAGCTGAGTGTTGTGGTCTCTGGCCCAGCCTCTCTTCTCTTGGTCACATAAACTCTGTGCACCAGACGCACTCTTGTGTTCCCAAATCGCTAAGCACCATGCTCTATCTAGCCACGGGGCCTTTGCGCATGCTGTTCCCATCACCTGGATCATTCTTCTTACCCTCCAATGCTCCATCTGGCTATCTCCTAATCCAGTGGTTCTCAACTAGGGGCAGTGTTGCCCCCTGGGGGACATTTGGCTATATCTAGAGACATTCTTGGCTGTCACAACTGGAGGAGGGGTTGCTTCTGGCATCTAGCGGGTAGAGGCCAGGCACGCTGCTAAACACCCTAAAATCACTCGTAGCAAAGAATCATTTGTTGGTAAAGGCTGCAGTTGAGTAGCCCTGCCCTAGACTCATCCTACATGTCAGCTTCCTCGGGAAATCCTTCATCGGGCTCCCGCCCCCAGGCTGGGTGCAGTTCCTTTCTCTGTGTGTCAGCAGTGCCTGTGTTTCTCCTCTGGCTTGCACTGTAGCTGTCAACCACACACCTGTGCCTCCAACCCTAGCACTGGACTTTCCAGAAGCACAGCGGCGATCTTGCCGTGAGAACAGTGACAGGGAGAGCAGGACCGAGAGCAAAGCCCGAGAGGTCCAGAGTCCGGACTCTACAGGTATTTCTCAAGTTCACATCTCAGCCTTGCTGCTTGCTAACTGCATGATCTGGGCAGGTTGCTTACCATCTCTCTGCATCAGGACCCTGAGAATGGGCATGATTATAAAACTCTCAGAACCTTGAGAGGAAATCAGTGAGCTAATCCATGAAAAGCACATCTAACGGTGTCTGCCTATCACAAACACTCAATATATCAGCTCTTATGCAAAAAAAATTCAAATTCCTTGAATTTTCCATTTTTAGATGGAAAGGGGTCCCCCCCTCCCCCCAGATCTCTTCACTTTCCTCTAGCTGTCTGGCTTCCTTAGAGAAGAGAAGGGCTGGGGTTGGTGCAGAGCGAGAGGTCAGAGCCATCAGTTTATTTTGGTGGATGACGCTGGGGGGACGGACAGTGAGATGCTGAGAGATGAGAAGAGCAGAGCTCCGAGGGGCCTAGTGGCATGAGGGCTCCTGTTCCGTCCATCCCTCCCCCTCAGCCATTCCTGGGGACGCCGTCAGGGCCTGACTGTCACAGTCAGCCAGCACAGTGGTAACACGGGGAGGGACTCCTCGGAGGCCTTGGATCAACACCAATGGCCAATGATTTCATCAATCACGCTTATGTAACGAAGCCTCCCTAAAACCCCAAAGGGATGGCACTCAGAGACCTTGACTTCTGGGGAGAGTGGCCACCCGGAGAGGGCACGCGAGTCTGAGCCTCTGTCTCATGTCTTGCCCTGTGGCTGTCTTCTATCTGGCTATTCCCGAGTGATTTCCTTTTATAATAAACCGGTCATCTAGTAAGTGAAACGTTTCTCTGCTCTGTGAGCTGCTGTAGCAAATTAACTGACCCCAATGAGGGGCATGGGGACCTCCGCTTTATAGCCAGTTGGTAGAAGCGCAGGTGACAACCAGGCATCTGAGGTGGGCAGGATGGTGGTTGGGTCCCGTAGGACCGAGAACCGGTGGGGTCTAATGCTTTCTCCCGATACACAGTGTCAGAATGGAGTTGAACTGTAGGGCACTCGGCTAGTGTCCCAGAATTGCTCTTGGGTATGGGAAACAGCCACCCTGGGTCAAGCTTGAATTGATATCAGAACCTGTTTAGATCCTCGGCAGTCAGCTGATCTGTACTGAGCACACTAACAGGATCAGGACCAGGGGCCCGGCCGCTGGAGTGTCCCCCTGGGTTCCCGGTCAGGGGCACATCCTGGCTAAAACATCAACTCCCCACCCTCTGGCCTCTTTCTGCTGCTTTAGGGTCCAGGGTCCAGTGTGGGGGCACAAAACCACGTGGGCATCCCCGGGCCTAGCTTAGGGTTCTAGCCATTGTGACCAGAACGAGGTCAGCTGCCAACCATCCCCCCACCCTCCCAGGCCTTACCCCAAGGAGGCCAAAGAGAACATTCTCCAACTTACAAAGTGGATAGGGCTCCCTGGAGGACCCTGAAAAGGAAGAGCCTCAGTCAGTATTTGGTGGGGTCTGGGTGCTGGAGTCCGCAGGGGCTGTCAGGAGCCTGGAGGGGCCACCCGGGCACAGGGGACACGCAGAGCTGGTCTCTGCTCTTCTGGAGGCAGAGTCTGTGCTCCACAGTCTCCTGGAATTCTGTGGAAGCTTGTGAGCCCTGCAGGGTCAGGGCCAAGACAAGCACCTGCCAGCAAAGCCTTGGGCCTCATTCAAAGGAGCTCTGCCACCTGCCCTGGAGTTCAAGGGCACCGAGCATGATACCTACCGGTGGGCCAGGCCGGCCTCTGGGACCAGGAGGACCCTGGAGGGAAAGAAGAACAGTGAGGACTGGGTCAAAGGCCCTCCATCTTCCCCACCCCAGGCCTCCTCAAGTGGACCTGAGACCCAGGACAGTCGTACCTCCAGCACAGACGGGTACGGATGGGATGACTGAGGTCCAAAGGGAAAGAAGGTGCCTGAGGACTTCAGTGGTCATCACCACCCCCCACACCCCATCCCCATCCCACCAGCCCTCATACCCCAGCCCACTCACCCTCGGACCTTGCAGTCCCTGGAGGAGGACAGAAGCAGAGAGAGACAGTTAGGGGATAGGGCTGAGCTGTGCCCCTGCCCTTGTCCCCCACCCCACCCCTACCCACTGGAGTGCTGCCCCCTGCAGCCATCGACTCACCAAGTCCCCTCGGCTGCCTTTGTCACCCTTTGGACCCTGCAATAAATCATGGCCCAGTAAGAGAGGACTCAGAGGGGAAGTTCTATTTCCAAGATGGGGAAACTGAGGCTCAGACTGGCCCTGGGTCACAGAGACAAGCTTGCCTCAGCAGTCTTTCTGGTCAGCCCCCTACACGTACCGGGCGTCCTGAAGGTCCCAGGATTCCGAGGGGGCCAATGATGCCTTCCTTTCCCTAAAGGAGAGAGAAAGGCTTGTGTGTTCTCCTCCTAGGGCCTGGGGAACTGAGTCACAGGGACAGGAGAGTGGACGGCAGCCTGAGTGTCCCATTGGGATGGAAGGGAGACTTCCTCAAACAGGGGCCAGACCACGCACCTCCGGGGCCCCTCCTGTGTGCCTTGGGGTGGGCTACGAAGAGTGGGGGGAGGGGAGCAGGTAAAAGGGGGAGGCGGCAGCCCAGCTGGGCAGGAAGGGCACAGGCAAGGGGATAGAAGGCTGCGGGCAGAGGGGGCTCGAGTCTGAAGGAGCTGGAGGAATAAGGCCTGTATCTACCCAGCGGATGGCTGGCCAGCCTTTGGCCTGGGCGACTGTCCCCACTAGGACAGACAAGGAGAGGACTCACCATCAAGCCGGGGGACCCCCGAGGGCCCTGGATGCCTTTCAAGCCGATGTCTCCAGGAGGGCCCTGTGGGAGGCAGAAGAAGGGCTGTCTGTGTCTGGGTGGCTTGACAATTATTAAGCAGGTAGCAGTGTGCTGGCTCTGTGCTTATATAGTGTAAGCCTCTGTTCTTAACCATTTCAACGACCCTCTATGGTTATCACACCCATTTTATAGATGGCAAAACTGAGAATTGGAGATCCAGAGTAACTTGCCTAAGGCACAGAGCAGATAAACTGGGGAGCTGGGCTTAGAACCCAGGTCTGCTGGAATGTGAGTTCTGGGGAACGAGGGTATCCGTGCTCGATTCTCGCTCTTTTCCGGCCCACCACTGTACGTGCTTATGAAAAACTTGTTGCAAAAGTAAATGGATAAATGGACAGACTAGGTAGGTGGATGGGACCCCAACAGGAACGATATGGAGTAGGAATCTGTACCTTGGGTCCAAAGAGGCCGGCCATCCCTGGGAAGCCCATCTCGCCAGAGTCGCCCTGTGCGGGGAGCAGAATGAGATGGGGTGAGTGGGGCCAGGACAAGGACGCCCAGCCAACCACCCAGGACCTCTGGGCCTGCCTTCCCCCAGGGACATCAGCGGCTCCACCTTGGTGAGGGTGAAGAGCTCACACACTGGACACTGTATGCCCTCTGTCGGGTGAGAATGCTCTAGAACGCTTAGGTTCTCCCGTCCCAGGTCTTCAAGGAAGAGGATGATAGGACCCACAGGCTCTTCCCCACCCATCCCAAAGGCTCTCCCAAGGACTGCGTCCCTCAGAATAACCTTTAGCTGTGGGCCTGCAGTGTGCTAGGTGCTTTGCATTCCTGCATCGGCCCAGGGGGGCACAGTGTGCCCTGTTCACAGATGAGAAAACCGAGGCTCAGAGAGAGCAGGAACTTGCTCATATTCACCCAGATGCCATTGTGGGGAGCGACGGGGTGTGAGCGATTCTGGAGGCCGGGATTATACCGTAGGTGCGTGCTTAACTTTTAAAGAAAGCGCCCAGCTGTTTTCCAAAGTGGTTGCACCATTTTACGTTCCTGTTAGCGGAGTAGGAGAGTTCCAGGTGCCCCACACCCTTGCCAACACTTGGTGTGCTCAGCCTTTGAAAAGTGTTACCATTCCAACAGGTGCGCAATGGCACCTCATTGTGGTTTTAATGAGCATTTGCCTGAAGACTAGAGGTGCTGATCTTTTTATGTGCTTATCTGCCATCCGTCCGTCTTCTCTGAAGCGTCTAAGCCTTTTGCCTCATTTCTTTATTGGGCTACTCCTTTTCTTATTAATGAGCTTTGAGAGTTCTTTACATATCTTAGATACAAACCCTTTACTAGATATATGATTTATACTTCCTCTTAGTCTGTGGCTTGTCTTTTTTATTCTCTTACCTTTGAAGAGCAAAAGCCTTCCATATTGATAAAGCCCACTTTATCAATTTTTTTTAATGGGTCATGATTTTGCTGTCATATCTAAGAAATCTTTGTATAACCCATGGTCTCAAAGATTTTCTTCTACCCTTTCTTCTAAAAGTTTTACAGTTTTAGGTGTATGATGGATGTGGAGTTAATTTCTGTACAGGGTATAAGGGATCCAACTGTCCCGGTACCATTTGCTGGAAAAGACTGCTCTGTATCCACTGAATCGTTTTTGCAACTTTGTCAAAAACCAGTTATCCATACACGTGTGTGACTACACGTGTGGATTCTCTATGCTGTTCCTTTGATCTGTTATTAGTATGTTTATGGCAATACCACACTTTCTTGATTACTGTAGCTTGGAATCAAATACTACAAGTCCTCCAACTCGCCCATTTCTTCAAGTTGCTTTGTTTCTTCCAGATCCTTCACATTTCCAAGCGAATGTTAGACTCAGCGTCTTATTTTCCACAAGGAAGCCTTGATGGGATTTTGATTGGGATTGCGTTGAATCCAGATACCAACTGGGGGAAAACTGACATCTTAACGATATTGCGCCTTTGACCAGCGAACACAGTAAGTTCCTCCATTTAGTTAGGTCTTCCTCCATGTATTTCAGAAATGCTTTGCAGTTTTTCAGCCCACGTGTCTTGTACACCTCTTGTCACATGCGTCTCTAAGTATTTCCTATTTCTTCTGCTATTATTAACAGTATTGCTTTTCAGATTTCAAGTTCTGATCATGGCTAGTGCATAGAGATTCAGTTCATTTTTTTTAACAGTTTATTTATTTTTGAGAGACAGAACCTGAGTGGGGGAGGGGCAGAAAGAAACAGAGACACTGAATCCGAAGCAAGCTCCAGGCTCTCAGCTGTCAGCACAGAGCCTGATGCAGGGCTTGAACTCATGGACCATGAGATCATGACCTGAGCCGAAGTCGGACGCTTAACCCACTGAGCCACCCAGGCGCCCCAAGATTTAGTTCATGTGTGCATATTGAGCTGGCGTCCAGCCATCTTGCTATACTCACTTGTCCTAGTAGCTTTCCTGTAGATTCCACTGGATTTTTTTTTATTTTTAATTTTTTTTAATGTTTATTCACTTTTGAGAGAGAGAGAGAACAAGCACAAGAAGGGGAGGGGCAGAGAGAGAGAGAGAGCGGGACTCAGAACCCTAAGCAGGCTCCAAGCTCTGAGCTGTCAGCACAGAGCCCAAGGCAGGGCTCGAACTCATAAACCATAAGATCATGACCTGAGCCGAAGTCAGATGCCTAACTGACTGAGCCACCCAGGTGCCCCTCCACCGGATTTTCTATATAGATAAGCATTTTATCTACAAATAAAAAGATTCACCTCTTCCTTTTTGACATGAATGCTTTTTATTTATTTTTTTATTCCTTATGGCATCGGCTAGAGCTGCCAGTACAATATTGAATAGAAGTAGTGAGAATAGGGATGCCTGGGTGGCTCAGCTGGGTAAGCGTCTGACTCTTGATCTCGGCTCAGGACATGATCTTACGATTTGTGAGTTCGAGCCCTGCATCGGGCTCTGCGCTGACAGTGTGGAGCCTGCTTGGGATTCTGTCTCCTTCTCTCTCTGCCCCTCCCCAGCACACACACGCCCGTGTTCTCTCTCTCTCTCTCTCTCTCTCTCTCAAAATAAATAAATAAAATAAACTTCGAAGTAGTGAGTACAAATATCTTTGACTCTTTTCTGCTTCTTGGGGAAAAAAATCAGTCAATCATTCTTTTTTTTTTTTTAATTTTTTAATGTTTGTTTATTTTTGAGAGACAGAGACAGAGTGTGAGCAGGCAAGGGGCAGAGAGAGAGGGAGACACAGAATCCGAAGCAGGCTCCAGTCCCTGACCTGTCAGCACAGAGCCCGATGCGGGGCTCGAACCCACGAGCCACGAGATCATGACCTGAGCCGAAGTCGGACGCTCAACTGACTGAGCCACCCAGGCACCCCATTTGGTGTTGATGTACTACCCTTTTTATATATTCTTAGATTGGTATTTCTGAAATTGTATTGAAAACTTTTGTATTCCTATTTATGAGATATATTGGTCTGTAATTTTCTTGCAATGTCTCTGTCCGGCTTTGACATCAGGGTAATGTCAGTTTCATAGACTATGTTGGGAATTAGTGCCCCCCCCTCTTCAATTTTCTGGAAAAGTTTATGAAGAATCAGTAGTACTTCCTCCATAAACTTTTACTAGAATTCTCCACTGTAGTCATCTGAGCCCAGAGTTTTCCTTGTGAGATGCTTTTTAAATCACAGAATGAGCTTCTTAGATAGATACAAGGCTACTTCAGGTTCAGGTGGCGATCCACATCTCCTCATTCTGAAGGGACCACTGAGATCTCATTTCTTTTTTAAAAAAAAATTTTTTTTTAATGTTTATTTTTATTTTTGAGAGAGA